GCTCTAACCACAGAGCTATGGGCACCAAGCCTATCTAGCCTTTTTTTTTTGCAGTTCTTGGCCTGGCCAAATTTGAACCCACCACCTCTGGTATATGGGGCTGGCACCCTACTCCTTTGAGCCACACGCACTGCCCCCATATAGCCTTTTTTAAAAGTCTTGTTTGGGATTATCTGGGCTTCCTGATTCTTGGGGTACAAATATGTACCTATATGTTTCTTTTTTTCTTTTTAAGAGACAGCCTTACTTTGTTGCCCTTGGTAGATGTGCTTTGACATCACAGCTCACAGCAACCTCCAGCTCTTCGGCTTAGGACATTCTCCTGCCTCAGTCTCCCAAGTAGCTGGGACTACAGGAGCCCACCACAATGCCCGGCTATTTTTTTGTTGCAGTTTGGCCAGGGCCGGGGTTGAACCCATCAACCTCGGTATATGGGGCCGGCATCCTACTCACTGAGTCACAGGCACCGCCTTTTTTTTTAAGAGACAGAGTCTCACTTTGTCATCCTCGGTAGAGTGCTTTAGCATCACAGCTCACAGCAACCTCCAGTTCTTGGGCTTAGATGATTCTCTTGCCTCAGCCTCTGGAGTAGCTGGGACTACAGGCACCTGCCACAATACCTGGCTATTTTTTTGTTGCAGTTTGGCAGTGGTCAGGTTTGAACCCACCATCTTTGGTATATGGGGCTGGCACCCTACTCACTGAGACAGAGGAGCCGCCCTCTTTTTTTTTTTTTTAGATAAGTCTTAGTTTGTCACCCTTGGTAGAGTGCTGGGGCATCACAGCTCACAGCAACCTCAAATTCTTGGGCTTAAACGATTCTCTTGCCTCAGCCTCCTAAGTAGCTGGGACTACAGGTGCCCACCACAGGTTATGTTTTGGTTGTAGCAACTGTCATTGTTGTTTGGCAGGCCTGGGCTAGATTTGAACCCACCAGCTCTTGTATATGTGGCTGGTATCCTAGCTGCTGAGCCCCCCTCTCTCTCTATATATATTTTTTTGCAGTTTTTGGCCAGGGCCAGGTTTAAACCCACCACCTCCGGTATATGGGGCTGGTACCCCACTCTTCTGAGCTACAGGTGCTGCCATCTCTCTTTATATATTTTTTTTTTATTTTATTTTATTATTTTTTTTTCTTTTTGAGACAGAGCCTCAAGCTATCACCCTGGACACAGCTCACAGCAACCTCCAACTCCTGGGCTTAAGCGATTCTCTTGCCTCAGCTTCCCAAGTAGCTGGGACTACAGGTGCTCACCACAATGCCTGGCTATTTTTGGTTGTAGTTGTCATCATTTGACAGGCCCAGGCTGGATTTGAACCCGCCAGCTCTGGTGTATGTAGTGGGTGCCTTAGCCGTTTGAGCTACAGGTGCTGAGGCTATATATTTTTTTATATAAAATTTTTGTTTCGGACGGCGGCTGTGGCCCAGCTGGTAGGGCGCAGGCCTCATATACCGAGGGTGGCAGAGATTCAAACACAGCCCCACCTGGCCAAACTGCAACAACAAAAAAATAGGTTGGTGTTGTGGCGGGCGCCTGTAGTCCCAGCTACTTGGGAGGCTGAGGCAAGAGAATCACCTAAACCCAGGAGTTGGAGGTTGCTATGAACTGTGTGATGCCACGGCACTCTACCGAGGGCAATAAAGTAAGACTCTTGTCTCTAAACAAAAAAAAAAATTTTGTCTCCTTTTTAGAGACAGGTCTTGCTCTTGCTAAGACTACAGTGCCACTAGCCTTGCTCACAGCAACCTCAAACTTCTGCTTTAAGCAATCCACTTGCAGCTCGGTGCCTGTGCCCAAGTGGCTAAGGCGCCAGCCACATACACCTAAGGTGGCGGGTTCGAATCCAGCCTGGGACCGCCAAACAACAATGACGGCTGCAACCAAAAAACAGCGGGGCACTGTGGCAGGCACCTGTGGTCCCAGCTACTTGGGAGGCTGAGGCAGGAGACTCGCTTGTGCCCAGGAGTTGGGAGGTTGTTGTGAGCTGTGATGCCACATTACTCTACCCAGGGAGACAGCTTGAGGCTCTGTCTCAAAAAAAAAAAAAAAAAAGCCACTTGCCTCAGCCTCCTAAGTAGCTGGGACTACAGGGTCCCCCCATAATACCTGGCTGATTTTTTCTACTTTACTTAATAGAGATAGAGGTCTTGCTCTTCTTCAGGCTGATCATAAACTCGTGAGCTTCTCCCAGAGTACAAAAACTACAGGTGTGAGCTACTGCACTAGGCCTTTTTTTTTGGAAACAGACTCTCATTCAATGTTGCCCTGGGTAGAGTGGCATGGCATCATAGCTCATAGCAACCTCAAACTCTTGGGCTCAAGTGATTCTCTTGCCGCAGCCTCCCAAATAGCTGGGACTATAGGCATCCACCACACCACCTGGTTAGTTTTTCTACTTTTAGGAGAGATTATGGGGTGGGGGAGATGGTGTCTTGTTCTTGCTCAGGCTGGTCTCAAACTCCTGAGCTCAGGTATCTGTAGAGGAATGGACACTATGCTTGCAAGGGCAGTTACTGACTCTTATCACATTAAAAGGAAACACTGAGAAAGGGTAGTCTCCTGGCAAGCCTAGAGATGTTTTGTGACTTAGGGACAATCCCCCAAGTAACTCAGTGTTCCAAAATGAGATAAGATCAGTTGCTCGTTAGTAAGCAGGTGTTAAAACATTGATGCTTGGTGCTTCTTCATGGGGGTTGTGGGGAAAGAACACATGAGGAAAGAGCAGGTGGTAATCCTTACTCATGCAGCCCTTGTATGTCATTACTTTAACTCTCCATACCTGTTTCTATTACTTTAATAAACAGCCACTGGGAAGGGGGCTCAGGGCTCTCTCACACCTCTGGCTAGCCCACCTCTTGCAAGCTAGCACTTCAATCCGTGTCCTGCCTGGTTCTTTCTTGCGGCATTGGGAGACATAGCGTTCCTGGCAGCGACAGGTATCAAACTCCTGAGCTTAAGCAATCTATGCCTCAGCCTCCCAGAGTGCTAGGATTACAAGTGTAAGCCGCCATGGCTGGCCTTCCTTGAAATTTTATCTGAAAGAATTCTCAAGGTCTCGGTTAAAGAACAATCAAAGAGGAATACATTTGCTTTTGCCAAGTGCCTGGAGACACTATCAATCTGAGACCACTTTAAATTATCAGCTTGAACATGAGGGCCAGCTGCGTTTACATATCATAAAGAGACCTTTATGTCCCCACCTCCTACCTTCCATTGTATCCTAAACAAAAGTCAAGTAGGCTGAGTTGAGGTTGGTTCACCCCTGAAATAACTGTGTATGTTTGAGGGGCCGAGATTTGAAGGAAGGGTCTCTTACCTAACTTTCCATTTTGTAGAAGCTTTGGTTTTGTTGCTTATATAGCCCTACACACCCCATTAAGGTCCACAAATCCCACAAAAATCAAAATAACAGAAAGATGTGTAAAAAGAATGTTTATGAAGTGGTTCCTACATAAAGTCCCAGCCCTGGGAATCATAAACAGACTCCACGGCCTTCACTGGCCCCTTTTCTTCTGTTCCAGAATCATTAGTTTAAGGCTAGAAGAAAGTCACAAGGACACAATGAACCAGATCCAAGCAGAGGCTATGTGGCATGGCAGAAGGCTGCAATCCTCTTACCTGGGCCTCCCAGAGTGCCAGGATTACAGGCATGAGCCACTGTGCCTGGCCTCAGTTACTCTTCTTATCAAGCTCTATGGGCAGCCCAAGAGCCCTCTAGCCTTCTCTGAGCCAACTTAGTTCTAAAGCAGCTGTGATCCTTGCTCTTAAACTGGAAGGAATCAGGAAAACAGGCCAAGTCCAAGACTGTTCCCATAGATTCAGGTCTCTTTGAGGCAGTGGCAGAGCAGAGAACAGTTTCTTAATACTCTTTGCTCAAAGGGAGCTGTCTCTTGTCCTTGCCTGCATTTCGGCGCCTCTTTCGACTCAAGAAGCTCTCCAGCTTCCTTCTGCGTCTCAGCTCCTTGAACTTCTCAGCTAGGGCCAACTGGCGCTGCTCAGCTAAATAACAGGGAGAATGAAAGCTGGTGAGGAAAGGATGAACCTCCTCTCCCTTTTCCCTTCCCCAAGCCAGGTCAACAACTCCCAGCCTTTATGCTGGGATACGTGGATTGTTTAACGTTCACTGGTGTGAGCAAGTCAACTTTTGATACAATCTTACCTTAATTCAACCAACTATGAGTTCCTTCTAGTCAAGCATGTGTGGGGGAAACAGATAAAAGAATCCCTGCCATGTTATAGTAGAATTAGGGATATAAAACTAATTACAAATAACCCCTCTCTACTGTTTCTAGTTTTCTTTTTTTTTGGAGACAGAGCCTCAAGCTGTCCCCCTGGGCAGAGTGCCGTGGCATTACAGCTCACAGCAACCTCCAACTCCTGGGCTCAAGCGAGTCTCCTGCCTCCGCCTCCCAAGTAGCTGGGACCACAGGCGCCCGCCACAACGCCCGGCTATTTTTTGGTTGCAGCCATCATTGTTGTTTGGCGGGTCCGTGCTGGGGATTCAAAGCCGCCACCTTAGGTGTACGTGGCTGGCGCCTTAGCCGGTTGAGCTATAGGCGCCGAGCCCTAATTTTCTCTAAGTACCTGGGATCCAGCCTTCATGCCTTCCTTAAAGGAGCTCAGTGACCTTCAATACCGTACCTTAACACTATAGCCTCCACACTCCTGTCCCAGTAACTGGCCTGCAACAGTTATGTCCCACTCACATTTCTTTAGGAAGTATGGCCGATGGCCCTCCTGGGCCTGAGCCCGCCGTTCATGCTTCAGGGCCAGGCGCAACTCCTGCTGCCGCTTTCGTTCCTGCTGTGCCATTTCTTGCCGTTCCTGGGAAGCAAAGATGAGAGGAGAGGGGACAAGGGTGGGGAGGGGAGGAACCAGAGGAACTGTGAACACCTCCCACCTATAACTGCTCTTCCTACCCACCTGTGATTGTCACCCACTCACCATTCTCTGAAGCAGCTGCTGCAGCTTCTCGTGCTGCTCCCCTGAACGGTGCTTCTTCAACTGCTTTTTCACAAGCTCCACATTGTAAAATGAGTATAAGAGTTAGTATTCCGTAAATATTAGCTAAAAGTCTATACCAAGATTTTAAGAGGTTCACATATATTTTTAGCCCAATAACATTGAAGCAGTTAATTATTATCATTTTTATGATTAGAAAACAAAAGCATTGAGAGATTAGTAACTTGCCAATTGGTGACACTACCAGTAAATTGAGGGGTCAGGATTTGAATAGAAGAACCATTGTAGGCAGAATTAAATCTGCCCCCTACTATGCTTCCTGCTCACCTCTGCCAAACTGTCTAACCTGTGTTATAGTTTCCCACCTCTAAAAAACCCCTTAAATCAGTTTCATGCTGCATACCTCTTTTTCTTTGGCTCGGATGTCATCCAAGAATTGGTATGTTTTGTCAAACACCTCAGGATTATATTCCCCTGACAGATCATCAAAGCGGGGGTCCCGGGCAACCTTTGGAGAGAATAAGAGTATAAAACAGAACTGTTTTTTTTTTTTTTAAGAGACAAAGTCTCATTTTGTCACCCTTGGTATAGTGCTGTGGCATTACAGCTCACAGCAACCTCAAACTATTGGGCTTAAGCGATTCTCTTGCCTCAGCCTCCCAAGTAGCTGGGACTACAGGCACCCACCATAAGTCCCAGCTATTTTTAGAGACAAGGTCTCCCTCTGGCTCAGGCTGGTCTCAAACTTGTGAACTCAAGAAATCCACCCCCTTGGCCTCCCAGAGTGCTAGGAGTACAGGTGTGAAGCACCACACCTGGCAAAACAGAACTGTGTAGTGGCTTTTTACTGAAAGTAAAAGTGAGAAAGTGCTTCCTGCCTTTTCCTCACCTTTTTACAGATGGGGACAACCTGCCGTAAAAATGGTACTCGGATCTTGGCTGACATTTCCAAAGGCCTTCAGAGAAATTAAAAGAACAAGTCATAGGGACTCCAGTCTTGGTCAAAGGTTTCCCACCTGCCACCCAAGAAAACAGACATATACTCAAGGATCAACCTCCTAAGGCAGGCTTTGATCCTTACCTGTGCTTATCTGCAACACCTGGACTTTGGATAGGTGGTCTAGAAACCTGTTTCTTAGTGCTGTTTGCAGTTACAAACTGTTTGTATGTCTTAGTGCCCACTTGGCTCTGTAATTCCAACAGCTCCTCAAATGACATGTTCGATATACCTATAGAAGGTAGGGACAAACAGCTGAGCATGGCCCACTGTGGAAAAGACATCATCCCATCCTCATTCGTTAGGTTGTTGATCCTTTCTAATGTCCTTCTTAGACCAGTCATTATTACAAGTTCCAGCAGCACAGGCTATAATGACACCTAACTCACCAACTATTTCAGCTCCCTGGTGCCTCACCTTGCTAAGTCAGGTATGTATGTAAAGTCAAAGGTGGACCAAATCATAGTCCCTTCTTTTTCACCCTCTTTTATTTTTTTTCTTCTATGTATTTCTTTAGAGACAAAATTTCACTCTGTTGTCCCAGGCTAGAATGTTAGTGCTGTGGTGTCACAGCAACCTCAAATTCCTGGGCTCAAATGATCCTCTTGCCTCAGTCTCCCCAGTAGCTGGGACTATAGGTGCTCAACACCATACCCGGCTTATTTTTCCATTTTTAGTAGATTGGGGTCTCACTCTCACTCAGGCTGGTCACAAACTTCTGAGCTCAAGCAATCCACCTGCCTCAGCTCCCCAGAGTGCTAGGATTACAGGCATGAGCCACCGCTCCTGACTTTACCTTATCTTTTAAATAACTCCTTTACAGATCTCCCCACAAGGGCCTCCATCTCCCTTGCTCAGTTACTATTGCCAATGTCTTGGTTCATACTCTTAGCATCTTTTACCTCAATCAGTTCTCTAGCCTCCTAGTCTCCCAACCTCCAGCCTAAATCCTCTTAAAGCTGCACTCACCACTTCAGCCTCAGAGAGAGACTGAAAATGAAAACACTGCCACATACACCCTTCATATCATGTCACTCCTGGATTCTAAACTCCCAATGATTTCCATCTGCTCAGAGCAAAAGCCATACGTCTTATAATGGCCTGAAAGCCTATGGGACCTGGCTGTGTGTAATGTTTCTTCTAATCTCACTCTTCCTGTGTCAACTGGCCGCTTGGCAGTATATTCCCACCTTGGTTCCTTTGCACATGATGTTGCCTCTGACAGGTACGCTTCCTCCAGATGTACTGCCTGCTGCCTCACCTCCTTAAAGCCTTTGTTTAAATGTCAGCTAGTGAGGCCTTCTTTACCTTTTTTAAATTGCAACTCCTCTATTTCTCTCTGTATCTCCTATCACTTAAAAAAATTGAGGTATAATTCACATAAAACTCACCCCTTTAAGTATATTACATATATATATATATATATATGTACTTTTTTTTTTTGAGACAAAGAGTCTTGTTTGTCGCCCTCGGTAGAGTGCCCTGGCCTCATAGGTCACAGCAACCTCAAACTGTTGGGCTTAAGCGATTCTCTTGCCTCAGATTCCCAAGGAGCTGGGACGACAGGCGCCGCCACAACACTCGGCTTTTTTTTTTTTTTTAAGACACGAGGTCTCGCTCTGACTCAGGCTGGTCTCCAACCTGTGAGCTCTGGCAATCCATCTGCCTCGGCCTCCCAAAGTGCTAGGCTTCTAGGGGCGTGAGTCACCGCACTCAGCCTAATTCATTGTTTTATTGCTATTTTTACTGCCCCTAAGCTCCAACAGGACAAGAATATTTTGACTATTTTATTCACTACTACTACTATCTCCAGCAGCTAGAACTGTGCCCAGATAAGCCTGCCGAATTCGTTGAGTATTAACCCACTAAGCCTTCCATATTCTTTTCGCCTTCGTGCTATTGCATAATCAGTCTTCCCTTGCCGAAAACACTCATCTACCTTTAAAGAAACTACATCCTGTATCAACTCCCACTTTCCACTGCGCTGGGGGACCTCCCAGTGTTTGCCTTCCAGAAAATTTCGCAGTCTCACCAAACTGACTACAGGAGCCGGACCCCCGCCAGGTTGCTGGAAGCACTCCTCCCCCATCCCGGGCCCCGTGCCCTCACCCCTCTGCAGGTCGCGGGCCGCAGCACCAGGATCCAGGTCCCCACTCTCCTGAGCACCGCGGGGACCACAGGCCGCAGCCCGAGCTGACGAATTTGTTCCGGGCATCACCTAGCGCAGCCCAGGCACGACCAATGGCGCTACTTCCGCTCGCGGCGGCTCCCGCCCCGCCTCTTCCGGCGTTCCCTGGAGGCCGGATCTCGACGTGGTGATGAACCCGCAGAAAACAGGCCGCGCGCTCGGGCGACCGCTGGAGAGCCCGCCCCAGAGAGAACATCGCAACCTTCTGTCCGAGTGGTACGGCGCTGAGTTCCACGCCCCAGAAGTTGGAGCCAAGCCTTGGTAGCACTTAAAGTTTCCTAACACTGCTGGCTGAGAAGCTAGAACCTCAATAGTGCCCGCCCTCAGTACCCAGCCCGCCCTGCAGACTCCTGTCATCTCCACCGTATTCCACAGGAACACACCACACGTTTGGAGATTTTAATTCATTTTTACAAAATCTGAGCTGGCTGAGCCTCAGGGTACAGCAACAGCTCAGGGAAGGGTGGGATTATCTGCTGGTCCCCACCTCCCCAAGTCGGGGAGAAGGAGGTCTCATGCCAACAGCAGCAACTCTCAGCTCCCAGCCAATGCTCATGGCTCAAGCAGGGAGTGGGGTGGGTGTGGAGGTTGGGGTGGGAGTAGGGGTAGGGGGAAGCTCCCGAGGCTCAGACACTGCTTGCTTCTCCCTTTTCCCCATTCCCTTCCCAGCAGACCTTAGCTGGCCTGGGGCCGAGCAGAGACCCAGGAGCAGTTGGAGGGAGGTGGATGGGGACAGAGCACCAAGGGGAAGGGGCCCTCAGCCCAAGGAGGGGAGAAACCTGGCCCTCCCATCCCTACAGCTCCCCACTGAATTCACAGCACAGAAAACACCTCTAGTCCAACAACTCCACGGGGAAGTATGCGGAGTCCAGGGTCCAAAGGGGCAAGCGGGTGAGAGACGGGCAGGGGCAGTGAAGACAACAGCAGGCTCAGGAAGGTTAAATGGCAAAAACTTCCTCCTACCCATGGGAGGAGACGATGGGGCGACTGATATTGCTGTTGGTGGTCATGGCATTCAGCTCCCACCTGGAAGGCCAACAGTGATAGGCAGATAGAAGAGGGAGTTCCCACCTCAAACCCAGAGTTGCTTTAACAAAGTTACGAACACATCAGTCCCTTCAACTTCCTAAAGCTCAACCACCCACAGCCAACTCCTCCTTACAGTCCTACTAGGTTCAGACCCCACACACCACCAAAGCCAATACCACCCACTCTTCCACCTCCGAGCTCATATGGATTTCCTGTTTATGTTTATATATACAGTCCCATATCCCAGCACCTGGGATTTGTGTACACATCTCAGTAAATATCCTGACCTACCTTTCCTGCTCTGCTCAGATCCAAACAGGCAGCCCCTTCACCTCACCCCCACTAGAAATGCCCAATTTTTGTTCTCCACTCCCATTCTTTTTTTTTTTTTTTTTTGGTGGGGGCTGGGTTTGAACCCATCACCTCTGACATATGGGGATGGCACCCTACCCCTTTGAGCCACAGGCGCTGCCCTCAACTCCCATTCTTTTTAGGCTCTGACCTCCATAGAACCTATCCTCCCTGAGGCCTTTCTCACCTCCCACCATAGTAAAATTAAATCCTCTTTTTTTCAATAATTCTTTCACACTACAAAGATATACCAAGTACCTCCTTATGCCAAGACCCTAAGCAGTCTACTTGGTATTAGGTACTTACACATGTCAATCTTGGACCAGCCTGGGATTCATCAGTTCAGATTTGTATACTCTATGACACCAAATACTGAACACACAGACCCTCAGCAAGTAAGGGTTAAACTGAACTGATAAAAGCCAAGGGAAATGTTTCAGAAAAGCAAAAACATACACATAGTAACTTTTTTTTTTTTGAGATACAGTCTTACTTTTGCCCTTGGTAAAGTGCTCTAACCTCATAGCTCACAGCAACCTCAAACTCCTAAGTAGCTGGGACTAGGCAGTGGCCACAACACCTGGCTATTTTTAGAGACAGGGTCTCACTCTTGCTCAGGCTGGTCTCAAACTCCTGAGCTCAAACAATCCACCTGTATTGGCCTCCTAGAGTGCTAGGATTACAGACTCAGGCTAGTCTCAAACTCCTGTGCTCAACCAATCCACCTGTGTTGGTGTTCCAGAGTGCTAGGATTACAGGCGTGAGCCATCACATTGGGCCCTAAGAATGGAATTTAAAGGGAAGCAGCCAGGACCTGGAACTAATATGATCCAGAAGCTCCTAAACATGTCTTTATTTTGCAGCTAGATTCTAAGAGTTAATCATTCTTAGCATGTTAACAAATACTATATAAGCTCAGGTCTCAGAAAGTGATGTTTCTGAATTTAGTCTGAAAAACTAGATTGATTTTTAATTTAAGTTACGCAGCTGACAGTTTTATTATATGATAGCTATAACTTCACCTCCACTACCTCATTTCCCACAAGCATACTATTATCTCCAGCAGAAGAAAAACATCATCTGTTTCCTCCACACCGAGACCAAGCTAATCAGGTCACACCTATACTACTTGTTCATCCTCAACCAGTCCCTCCTTTCTAACCACTCACGTACCTGATGTCATGGGGCAAACAGGACTGGTCCAGGTTATACTGAATCACAGCCAGTTTGCACAGAGTCTTCAGACTAGGGCCTTTAAGGGAGGAGGTGGTGGAGGAAGGAGATTGTCAAAGCTCAGTAAAGGATCCAGTCCTGGATATCACCACCCAAAGACTGGGACCCTGGAGTCCCAGTCTCCATGGCAGAGGGGAATAACTATACTTACTAAAGTCCAAAATGTGTAAGTCAGAGTGATCTATGAGGTCAAACTCATCTCCCAGGCCTTCCTCAGGAGATGGACTGTAGGGATTAAAAGAGATGAAGGTAGGAGGAAAACTACCCACAAGACCCTCTTGCTCAAATACCTCCCACTCTCTGGGTTAGTCACAGACTTAAGCCCTTCCCTGAGCCCCTCCCCTCTCTCCTCCTAACCTGGTACCCCCAAAGAGGACAATCTTGTCACCAACAATACAGCAGCACTGGCGCCGGCGGGGACATGGTCCCTTTCCCTTCGGTTCAATCTTTTTCCAAGTGAAGGACACTAAAGAGAAATTTATATGGAAGTTTAATATTTGCCCAGTCCAGCTACCTTCCCCAACTCCCATCCCCTCACCTACTAAGGATTATTATTTTCTTTTCCTCCCACCTCGTTTGCTCCTGGTTCCTCCTCTAAAGGCAGTGAGTGCTGTTTACCTGGGTTAAACTTCCAAAGGTCATGGAAGTGCCGGTTCAGCCTTGCATTATAGCCACCAAAGATGTACAGCTCCCCATTGTAGCCAACTGGAAGGAGAGAGGAATGCCAAAAGTGTGAAGAGGGCAGGAAAGGGGACTCCACAAGGAAGTAACAAATACTCACAGGCTGAGTGGCTCCGACGCCCCTCAGGCAGCACTGGGGTGGGTGGACAGTCTAGCCAGGCCTCAGTTCTGGTGTCAAAGACTCGAATGCGGTTGCAATAAATCTCATTGTTAGAATGGAATGGCCCAAAGCGGTCAGCACGGCCCCCAAAGACATACATGTGACTGCCCAGCATTGTGGCTGAGTGGAAGTCCCTCCAGCGTGCAGGGTTGCCCTGGGCAGGGGAAGAGAGATGGGAGAGGGGATCAGCACAAAGGCTGGAAGGAGATCTGCTCTATTCCAGCTTCATATGACTTCTTCAATGAAGGGTAGGGATCTGGGAGAAAAAGCAGACCTTTGTACAGATAAGGGTCCAAGTCATGGTGCTGGTATCCAGCTTGTGAATGTCATTGGAAAAGCAGTCCGCCTGAGTGGGAAGTGAAAAGGAAGAAAAGAGAGAGCCAATAGTCACTCTCTGATCCAGTATCTCTCCCTTTAAAACCTGTAAACAAGCCAAATCCTCCCTTTTCACCACCCTAAATTCTTTTTCTCCTTTCTCATTCCCACCGGAAATTCCTAGTTTCTTCCCATACCTACCAGCTGTTCATAGCCCCCGAAAATGTACATGATCTTGCCCAGCACACAAGCTGAATGTCCATCCCGGGCCCCCGGAATTGTTCCTGACACTCGAGGTGTGGACCATTTGTGAGTATCTAAAGGAGGTAAGAGAATTCCCCAGGTAAGCAACCTCTGACTCTCCCTCCTAACCTCTGGGGTGCTTTATTCCCCACCCACGCCAACCCTAGCCTTTCCCAGGCTCCCAGGGCACCATTTGGCAGAATATAGCCTTTCTTGAGACCCATACTTACTGACATCAAAGGCATAGAGCACATTGCAGGCCCCTTCAGTGTCATTCCGCCCGCCCCACAGGAAGACTGTGTCATCGATGAGGACGGTTGAGTGTCCATACCGCATGTAGGGGACCACAGGAGCCTGCCCGCGGATGGTGGGCCTCACTGGGGGCAGTTTTGTCCAACGCAAGGACACTGTGGGCACACAGCTCTGCTCAGCCCTGGGAACCTCCTCCAAGCTGTCCACTATTCCCCAAACCAATTATTTGTCCCTAATCCCCTTGGCCACAGGGACCACCACCAAACCTCATTCAGCCGCCCATTTCCCTCCCTGATGTGGGCACTAGAGACAGTCTCAACACTGGCTTACCTGCATTGAAAATGTGCACATCTATCTGACGTAGTGTCTCATAGTCTTCACCAGAGCAGTACCCCCCGAAGGAGTATACCCGGTGCCCAACAGCCACTGCAGCATGGTTCACCCTGCGGGGCCCGCCCTCCAGGTGCACTGTCCACCGTAACATCCCCTGGACCACTGGTTACAGCAACATGCCCCCCCGGCACGGCCTGCTGCCTCCGCTACCTGCACACAAGTCAGGGCCACAGGCTTCTGAGGCAAGGTTTCTTCCCCGTTCACTGTCACTCTGCCCAGGACCAGCCTCCAAGTGTCACCCTGGTGGCCCTCCCACACCACCCCTCTGCAGGGACACTAGTCACAGCTCAGGTGGCTGGCCCTGACCCAGGGAAGCTGCCGAGGTCAGGGTGCTAGCCCTGGCCCTGTGTTCTCCAATAGCAAAGTGTGGGGCCACTGCAACCTGATTGCCAGCTCAGAATTTGTTGATCATGGTCACCCACTACTCACCGAGGATCCACCCTATCCCCATCTTGGCACAATCTCTAAGCCCCCTTTCCCAGGCTGGGTGTGTTCTCTTTGTCTTGGCTCTGTTCTGCTTACTGCCACCTCTCTAAGAATCTCTGTGTTCTTTAAGGTGGGGAAAGGGATCTCAAAATACTCACAGCTATTAATAGCTCAGCCAGCCCCAGACAGTCCATTGAAAGCTGGCATGGATACTTCAAAGCAGAAAAGCTTTTAGGCTTT